TGATACGCACTAGACTGTTAGGTGCCAGTAACTCCTTAATATCTTACATCTGCCTTGATATCAATAATTTTCTCAATTTGAACCACATGTAATCAGAAAATTAACTTTTTTTTCTTTTTCTTTTTTTGTATTTTAGGGAAGGATCTCCAGGGTGTTCAAGGTCTCACTACTAGATCACACTTGTAGTGATCTGCTTGTTTACAGCCTCCCAACTGCTGGGATTACAGGCGCAGGCCGCCACCAGGCCTTGTCGCCATTGTGGTCTCAGTGTGCTCTGGGGGCGGGGCAGGCACTTTAATCCACTGAGCTATTTGGGCGGCCCCAGAAAATCAACTTTTCATCCATTTTATTTAGTTTTGTTTATTTGAAAACAGTGGAATAATGACTGTAGGCAACCATGGCTCAGGAAAAATTACCATATAAACATACTTATTGCATATTCACATTTAATCTAAAAATACCTAGCATTTCTACAGCAAACTTGAACACCTTCTTCATTTGCTGAAGCCAGCGCCTTTGCTAAATTTCTTTATAGAGTTACACCTGTGCGATTCACTAAAAATACAATTTGAATAATTATGACCACATGCAACCCAAGTTAGTGACACGGTGTCCATTCAGTGCACACTGGCTCAACTCAGAAGCCAGCATCTATCATGAATCTTCACAGGGCAAGAGAAACACCAAGGGAGGAAGACCAGGGGCACAACCAAGAGGAAAAGGTAACTTGGGAAAAAAAAAACCACTGAATTTTTAAAAATGGCAATAGCCAGCCAAAAGAACCAGGGACTTGGGCTACGAGGACTCTGGCCGAGGTGGGCCGTAATTCTCCAAGGCATCCAGTTTCAGTACTTACATTTGATGGCATGGTATTGTTCCTAGCTGTCTTGCCTAAAGAATTTAAGGAATGATTTATGGGGGGGGGTAAGAGGGACAGAGGAAAGGAGAGACCAGGTAGATAAAGAGGAAATAAGCCCCTCCCATTTTTACTGCCCACAGAAAAACATAAAATTAAGACAGATCTTATAGTTACTTAATAGAGACTTTTATCTTAAAGCTAAAGAAACAGGATAATGTGACATACACAAACCAGTGATAGCCAAGAAAACAATACGGCAATTTCTCTTATGCTCTTTCAACTGAATTTGGTTGACTTTTTTTTTTTTTTCTTAGAGCATCTTATTTCAGCCCTTAAAATCGAGGCTCATAGGTGGTCAAAGAGATTAATATTGTTCTCCAAACAAATTCTGATCTCTCAAATTTTTCTTGTTGACTTAGAATCAACGCTATCCTTAAATAAAAATACAACACTTTACCTTGCAGTTTTGTAGTCTGTGGACTGTGTTATATCATCCGTTATCTTACTTGATCCTCACAAAAAATCTTTGAGGCAAGACAACGGAAATATCATTTTTCTTGTTTTAAGAATGTGCAATTAAAAACTGAAGACATAAATTGGGCTTCCTGGCACACGCCTAGATCCCTGCACTCAAGGAGGCTGAGGCAGGAAGATCACTATGAGTTTGAGGAAAGTCAAGATTACATAGTGAATTGTAGGCCAGCCTGAACTATATAGTGAGACCTGTTTAAGAAAAACAAAAGAAACAAAGACATTCAATAACCGTGTACGGTCACTTAGAATCAGGAAGGAGCCACGATTCCAATGCTATTCCTTTAGAAAAAAGCACAAATCTGTCCCTATTGTTCTGCAAGACGACCCTTTCTACCTTCCCTCAACTAGATTAACGAAGTTTGGGTCTAACCAACCATCCACAGAGGGTAATCCTACTTTGTACCAAGTTCTTATCTTTAAAAAGTGCAGTTGCTTACCCCTTCCCTTGGTTCTGGTCCTTACTTAGGCTTTTATTGTTCTCTTGAGTTTTGATCTCCTGGGTCTCTCTCGCTAAAGCGCCCCCCTCTCCAAACAAAAAGTTGCGTCTTTGGTATCCAAGGTGACTACACTACTACCGCAATCTTTCCCCTTCCACACTTTCCATTGGCTAGGTGGAGTTTTGCGTAATTCCCCGCCTCCTCCTGCTGGTCCAATGGTCAATAAGCTTGAGGTCAAGGGAGCGCGAGGGACCAGCCCTGTCTAACTTCGACCGGCCTACGACGCGCATTGCCTCCTGGGACATGTAGCTTTCTTCTCTACCAGCTAACGATGACATCTGGCTCCCTTAGAACTACATATCCCGTCGGCCATCGCGAGAAGGGCGGAAGTAATCAAAGCGCGTGAGTTAGTAGTTGGCCTTAGAGCCTTCAAATTTCAAATTGCTCCTGCGGCTTGATGCTTTAGCAAACCCTCACAGACGTCTTCTTTTGCATTCTCAACAGCTCGGTGGTCAGTCGATTGTCGTGATAAGAGACCTGCGGTTGAGGTGTTGCGCGGCAGGAGCGCGGGCGTGAAATGTTCACCCGCGGCGCGGGCCGGGGGTTCGGCCGCCTCTGGCTGGGTCAGCTTCGAGCGGGGCCGGGCGCTGTCCGGACTACACTGTCCGACTCGGGCGCGGGCGGGCGGCGACCGGGATCCGAACCCCAGGTGCCTCGGCCGGGATCCGCGCGCCGGCGCGCCGCGAAGGAGTGGGCGCTGCGCGTGAGCCCGTTCGGGCGGCTGCGGCTGCGGCTTCCGTGCCGCGTGGCCGTGAGGGCCCTGGACCCGCTGTGCCACCCTGACGGCGACCGCGTGCTCGTCGCGGCGTGCGACGCGGAGGGCGGCCCGCGGGGCCTGGCCAGCCTGCAGGTGACCCACGACGAAGCGCTGCGCGAGACGACCATCGAGGCCGACGGCCTGGACCCCGGGGCCTCGGTGGAGGTGGACGCGCCGCTGAGGTTTGGTGAGTGCGGGGCGGCCCGACGGCGCACGCGCGGGGAGCGGCTCAGGCGCGCCCTCCGCGGGGCTCTCCGGACCTGCAGCTCACAGTGCGCCCCGCTGGTGGCTGCCTCTTTCTCTCTTCTCTGTTAGTTTCTGAGTAGTATTTAGAGATGAGGTGGCCAATTAAGGAAGAATTTAAAATCTAATGCAACCGTGATTTGGAATAATCCATATCAAATATATTTGTGAAGCCCCCAATGGTCTCGTTGGGCGATTATCATTGGCAAAGTCCTACTTCAGCGTTGAGGTTTCTTGCTAATCCATTCAGCGGTGGGTGTGGCAGTCCATCTACGTTTCCCCTGCTAGCGTCCAGTGGGGCTGTCCCCATACCTAACCTGTCCTCCCTATCTAACTTCGAACAAGTATTTAGATTCAGGTAAGTGCCCAGCTTCTTACTGACACATCTTCATTCCTTTTGTTTCCACAAGTTTTCTTGGAGTAGCAAGCTTTAAAGAAAACTCCAGTAAAACTGCCTGCAAAATTTCATTATTAATGCCAGAAAAATCCATGGCTTTGTGAAACTTACATTCTAGTGGGGATAGATGAAGAAATATGTTCGCTCTCTCTTCAGTATAAAGAGCAGGTGGGATTTGGACTGGAATCCGCTCAACCACTGTGCTAGTTTATTACTTAGCTTCTTCTAGGCCGCCTAGATGAATAAGAGCCTGCACCTTCAAAATGAAACAGTTGGGGGCGCTGGTGAGCACTTGCCCTGGGACTAAATAGACTTGCATACTGAAGTAGAGCTAAGTCTGGCTGCGCAGATAAAATCCCTAATGTTGTTGGTGACTCCAGACCTCATCATTTTTGCTTCTTCAGAGCCTGAGCTCCATTTCCAGTTTACTGTTTGCACGCATCTATTCAACGGACTCCCCCGAATCTGCATAACTCAGTTCTCTAGAACATAATTCCGTGTTGCGGTGTGTGGATGGAAGTAACGTTACCGTGCTGTCTCCAGCTTTAGTTTCTCTACCTACCCGCTGAATAGAAGTAGCTTTACACATCTCCACCTCCCTATTGAATAGAAGCAACCTAAATGTTAACTAAGTTTATCAAGGTGAGACAGTTAGAAAAGAACAAAATCTAAACTAACAGTTATAATCCAACCATGCACGATTCCAAAACCTATATGACGTTTGCTTTTTGAGGTACTTGGGATCGAATCTCGAGCCTTTGCTCTGAGCTACATCCCCAGCCCTTTTGAGAAGGGGTCGAATGCTCAAGGATTCACTTTCATAGAAATGTCTTTAGAATCTGCTTCCTTCCATTTCTGTAATTGCTTCCTTAGATTTTATTGTCACATTTTGTTGTGACATTACTGTACTAAATTTGGAAATAAAAAAATTTGGAAATAAATTTTGCTGTTAAGTTTTATTTCCATGTTTAGGATAAAATTGTCTTTTTACATATTCTTACATAATCTCATAAAATATTGGTTTTCTTTTAAAATTCTAGAGATTGCCATGCCACTATGGAAATTAATATTGTATACTTTAATTCTTGGAATTGTGACACCAAGTCCCAAATACTTTGTGTTTTGGGGAACATAGTATGTACTTCTGTAGTCTAATTTAAGGGAAATTGTCAATATTATATGAATTAAGTATTAATCAGTATTTTCAATTATTTTATTTTGATATAGAGATTCCTAAGTGTTACAGTTTGTGTCTGGATGACTCCCAAAGCCTCCTTTGGTCATGCACAGTGGGCTGAATTTAGAGTTTGTGATCGATTCATTGTCTAGTGCTGGGATTGGGCGTGTGAGCCATATACTGCCCTAGGGCGGGTAGCCTGCCTACACTGTAAGGGCAGGAAAGGGGCTTGCTCCTCCCTGCTTCTCTTATTGCATTTTCTGTCGTTCACCTCCATGAACTGTTGCCCCTCGGCCATGTACCACCTTGCCATGGAGCCAGCTGATTATGGACTGAAACCTCTGCAAACTGCGAGCTAAATACATCTTTCCCTCTTTAACTTTGGGTGTTGGATGTTTTATCCCTGCAGTGAGAGAAAAATTACTAAGACACTAAGCTTCCATCTTAAATTGATTGCCTTGGATGGCACCTGTGATTACCTATTTCCTGACTTTCTTCAGATGCATTTCTTATTTATCTACAGTCCTACAGTTTAAATGCTGTTCAGTATTAAGTTTTTTCAGAGTGGATCCCATTTTTAAAAGTTAATTCAAGTACCCTGTGATATAGTAGAATAGCAGTTTTCAACTATTCAATGGCAGTATTCTCTCTTTCGTAGTTATGAAAGAGGAAGGATGTGAAAGCCTAAGTCTTGATCAGATACGCTTATACATGCTATTTCTGTAAATATGCTTTTAATTTGAGGAAGGTTTGAAAACAAATCTTTAAGTCTTCCTGAATGTAAGAGGAACTTGGCTAATGGACTTACTGTTTTATTATGACTCATTAGCTGTTTGTTTTCTTATTCGTGTGTGTGTGTGTGTGTGTGTGTGTGTGTGTTGTTTTCTAGGTGGGGAAGAGGCCTCTATGACATATGATGTGTATGCACATCAGAATTGTAGTCTCTTGCCTCTTTTACTTCCTGTTCCTCTCTGTGTATGGTACAGGCCAGCAGGAGTAATTCTTTCTAAAACCTGGCAGGCAGGTCATTGCCCTTGACCCTGGCCATGGCGGCGTCCTCTCAACTTTAGAGAGACATTGTTGACAAATATGCATTCTCTGAAATTTAGTGTATGTATTATGGACAAACTGAGGAGTTGGGTTTCTAGAGATACATGTTTCAGAGCCCACTAGGACAACTTATTTTTTCTTTTTTATACTTCTAGATTTGAATATCAAGTCTTCAGGGTCGAGCTGTGTTAGAGTTCAAAATATGGAGTGTGATGATTGCAAAATTGAAATCGAGCAGGGTACGAGCTTCTTACAGTCTGTTAAGGTATGGCTTTTTTTCCAGTTTGTCTTGGACACAGCCCTGTGTCGTGCAGGGTGGCCAGAACCTTCTGTGGCCTGTACTTCAGAGATGCCTCTCGAAGCTCCTTCGTTGTGAAACTAGACTGTCCCCAGAATTGCCTATGTCCTTAGGGGGACAGAATCACCTCCAGTTGAGAATTATTGTTCTAGGCAAGACCATCATTTGTATACTTTAGCTGAGAGTAATTGATGAATAATTATGAAATAACTCCCAGGAGAATGAAATAGCAAAAATGTTATAAGAATAAACTGAGCTCATGGGTGCTGATGGTGGACTTAGGGCTATGAGAATTATTTTTGAGAGTTTAGGATTTGATTGATTGAAATTAACACATAAGAATATTTTGGTAAAATACATGGTTTTAGTTTTTTTGTTTTGTTTTGTTTTTTGTTTTGAGACAGAGTTGCGCTATGCAGTTCCGGCTGGCCTTGAGCTAACTTTGCAGCCCAGGCTGGTCTGGAACTCACAACAATCCATCCTCCTGCCTCCTCCCATTCCCAAAACACTCCCCCACCCCCGGTGCTGGGATTACAGGCTTGCACCACCACACCTGGCAATTTTTTTTTTTTCTGGTTTTAGTTTTAAATATGCTACGGTATCAGTGTCTTGAATCAGTAGGCACCTGCTAAGTAGCATCCCTTTCATGAATTTTAAGCCCTTATACTATATAGATCTATATAATAACATTTTATAGCAATTGTTGTGAATGACCCCTTATTCTGTGCCAAGAATCACGGCTGTAATCCTTGAAGCTTCTTCATTTTGTCAAGGAAGAAACTAGGGGGCAGCAAGAGACTGAGGAACTCACTTCCGTTCACAGTTAAACATTAAGCTGTGGTTTGGCCCTGGGTCTCTCTGGTCACCAAGCACATGCCAAAATGGTAGCACCACGTTTATTGAGCATCGTTTTTAAAATTTATTATTATTGAAGGTTTTTAGGGAATAAGATATTTGAAGCAATAGACCATTAACTCACCAAATGCTGTGTACTTGCAATTTTTTTTTGTAAATGCATTACAACTTTCTAAATAAGTTCTGATTTATTTAAACATTTGTTTTCACTCTTTGGTCTCATTTATTTTTTAAAATTTTCACACTGATTGGGAATTAGTTGAACTTTAAATAATAGCCCACTATTTTTGAGCCTCTTGAAAAAATTTCACACTAGAGAAAAAATGCATGTGTGTGGTTGCAGTATCGTGGAAATTCATGTAGGATCAGTGAAGAATAATTGATTTGAAGCAGCCCTTGCTTTGGAAGTAGACTTTTCTAAAATGAATGAGGTGCCGAATAAAAAGTATATTAAAGAGAAATTGACCTTGTGGACATGAAATTGTTAGCCATGCCACAATGAATTTTTTTTGTTTTAGTTTTTGTTAATTTATTAATTTATGTATTTGGTATCAGGAGTCAAACTCAGGACCTTGCACTTACCCTGGACCCAAGACTGGTTTTTTTACTTTTCTTTTTTCTCTTTTATCTATGTATTTATTTGGTACAGGGTCTCGCTACGCAGCTTGGACTCGTAGTGATCCTTCGTCTCAGCCTCCCCAGCGCTGAGATTGTAGGCGTGCGCCACCACCGCATGCTTAGGCATGCTTGGCGTTCCGAGGACTCTGCATCTCAGCCTCGCTGCGAGCTGTGCTCCCCGGTGGGCGGGGTCGAGACAAGGGCTCTCCCTCCCCCGGAGCGCAGCACTCTGCTTAGGTCCTGGTAAGAGCAGTGGCACCGCTCGGCATGTCAGCTGTGTGAGATCACGGGCCCCCTCAGCTCTCGGGCTGCGGAAGCGGCTCCCCGGCCTGCGACGGCCTTCTTCGTTGGGGCAGTCTCAGTTTTAGTTTCTGGGTGTGTTGCCTAAGTGTGAAGCTGTCCTCTTTCAGAACTCCCCAGTCCTAATGTGGGGGCCCCGTGGCGCACACCTGGGAGGCTGAGGAGGAGGCTACCAAGCTGGAGCCCAGCCTGGGCAACTGAGCAACTTCCAGAGACCCTGTGTCAAATTGCAAAGTGAAGCATGGGCTGGGATGAGCTCTGTGTGAAGGCTCTGGCTTCCAGCTCCAGCTGAGCTTTCTTTCCAGTTGATACTGTGATTTTAAGCAGTGAATTTTTATTTAATTCCGGATGCTTCTTTTGCTATCATTTTATTTAAAAAGAAATGTTGAAAGTGCTTCATTAGTACAAGTGAAGACATCCTTTTTCTTCAACATATAATTTTCTATTTGCTTTTCAGAGTAAAAAAATACATGTTCAAACAAAAGGAGGCAACGTGATCTGTGTGGGAACAGTTTACGGGAATATAGATATTCGCACATCACATCAAAGCGTAAGATGAAAACTTTTAATAACTGCAATTTTAGCTCATGAAGTTGGTGGTATAATATTTCTTTTTAATGTATTGTAGGTCATTAGTAAATTTAAATTTGGAGTTGAGTTATTTAAATATTATGCAGTTTAAATTTTAGTTTGTGGTTATATTTTTGACAGTTACTTAGTTCCTTATTTAGAATTAGTAAATGAATCAAAATATTTAATTTGAATTTTAAAGAGTTTTAATTTTGATCATTGATTAAAATATCTCATGAAGAAGTATCCCCAGTATCATGATTGGATTTTTTTTAACCAGAGTGCTGTATTTTCTAAGAACTGTTTACTTTGCATTTAGACAAATAAAAGGATAAATTTCCAAACTCAACTTTCAGAAGTATTTCCACATGGCAGCAGCTGTTGACAGCTTTCTGCTCCCCAAAAGCTTATTTTGTTGTCATAGGGAATTTGGTAGTCATGGGAAGAAAGCTTGCATTTTCTATGTCAATTATTGCTTCCTATGGTTTAGCATCATATTAAAAATTAAAGTGTCATTTTGGAAGTATAAATTGTCATAGTTGTTTTTGAATGTGATCAATAGTGTTTAAAGCCTATGAAGAATCTAAATTTTTTGTTTAGACTTATAACTGGCAAGGTACTTAGGTTATCAGTTTGTTAAATTTCATACTCAGAGGAATAGAGAGCATGCATGGAAGGCAGAGTATTATTGGCCTAATCAAATAAGACAAGTTGTAACACCGATTGCTTCTACTGTTGTCATTTTATTTTCCATCATCTTTCTCTCAGAACCTGTGGGGGCTGTTTCGGTCCCAGAGTCTAAATATCCTCTAAGCTAAAGCTTGGAAGGTGTGCAGAGGTTGCCTGGCTGTAGGTGGCAACTCTTCGAGGTGGCATTGTGCTTCCTGGTCAGAGTGATGGCCTCTTTGAGGCCTTGGAAGGGACAGTTTGGTGGCTTCTCACTCTCTGCTTTAGTAGATAGATGGCTAGTGTTAATTGAAATGATCCTAAGTTACACTATTACAGTTCTACACTCAGATACAAGAATCAAAATTTAAATTATCTCTTATTTTCCATTTTCAATCATTTTGCCACTCATTAGTTATTTGTTCCAAGTCCCATGGCTTATTGAATATTTATTTTCTACTTCCTATTGTATAATTTTGTTTCTTACCAGGTTGAATTTTGTAATATGCCCAAGACAGTCTAGATTTTTTCTACTTTTTGTTATATATAAAGTTAATTTTTAAAGTATATTTCTATGTTGATTTTCTTTAAAAGCATGAAATAAATGCTTGTGAAATTTGCTAACT